CTTACCCAGGGTTTCATCTTACCTGTCACATAAGGCGAGGTCATGGCTGCGGCCTACTTTAACAAACATCAACTTGGCACTGAACAACAGCCGCCGCATGATGTCAGTGAGCAGGCAGGCATCTACCTCTGGATTGGTCAGTTTACGAGACAAGGAGCGGCAGTGGCTGATGAGCTGATGACCACAGGCGGTTTGGTCACTATGCAGAGATAAAATGGCCACGCAGAGGTATGCACTGGGAGCCTACGTGTTTTAGGGAAAGAGCATTATTACTTTTAAAATACTGACTTGGTTAATTCCACTAATTGAAAGCTATTAAAGTAGACAGAGACAGAAATCACACAAAATTGTCAGCTAAATTTAGGCACTAGCTCAATATAAAGCTTTTGCTCTATAAAAACAAAGTTACCCTCAATAAGCTGCTAATGACTAACATGTAAAGGTAACCTGCGCGCTGGGATGGATGGTGACTACACAAATCCAAACCTGTTCATAGTAGAACTCGTTCCGCAGATGCTGGTTCTGTGCAGGGTTTGTGCTGAGGAGGAACTGTCGATGGACCACTTCAGGCAGATGCAGCATCCCATCGAGGGGAAACTGCTCTGTGACCACAGGGCTACCATCCACTGCTAAAAAAGAAGAGAATACGTCATGATTATAGCCTACATTAATTACGTATTTAAGAATGGCTGCATGTAAGTGGCTCTCCACCGTTGTAGCAAATTCAACATATTGTAAAACTCTAATATTGCAAAAACCCACAAGAAAGCACCAAAACACAACATAAAATTATTTAATTTACCTTCAGCAGGTTCCCACTCATCATCGGTACTGAAAATAGAGACAAATTAATTTTTTAGTTATATTCAAACCCTTTCTTTTCCCTTATTACTCGGTTTCCGTAATTCATATGCATTTGGAACTACTAGCTCTGATAAATGTCTTACTCTGGGTGAAAGTAGGTGTAACACTGATCACAGACTCTGACTTCCTCTCCTGGACAGCCGTCAACAGGCATCTTCTTTTCCGAACACGCATTACAAACAAGACGGCCACATCTCCGACAATGATGACGTCTGTTGAACTAAAACCAGAAAAGCAAAGGAAAAATCCCAGCTGAGCAAACATGAAAACTGTATTTCTGTAATCTGTCGAGGAGATCCAATATTAACAGTCATGTTTTCGCCATAAAAATTTCATACAGAGGCCAATTATTCTTCACATCAAAGAAATAGAGTGTGAAATGGAAAAGGCAGGATGACAAAAAAATAAAATAAATAAAATAATACACTTGAACTTGAGCAGGTAACTCTCTTTTATTGGTAACTGCATCACTCACCATGGTGAACCTCTCACGCTTGCAAACCATGCACACATGCTGCTGGGTGTCTGGGACCCAATCTTTGCGGGCTGGGGGTTGATCTGGAGGCTGGAACTTTGCAGGTGAGTGACGTTTTTTCCCTGCTGAACCACGATCCTTCTCTCTGTCTGTGCTGCTTCCCGAGGCTGAGTGTGTAGGGGTACTGCCTGTAATTAAAAGAAACACTCACAATGATTAAAAAACAAAAAACTACACTGCAGCAATATCATCATTAAACATATCCTAATATCTCACATCTGGAGGGTGCTGGCGATTCAACTCGACTGGAAGAGAGCGAGCCGTCTTGAGCAGGACACTGTATTAGCGCTTCCTGAAGACTGATTACAGAATCTGGAACATAAAGTGTTATGTTTAGACACAACCAGTTGGTAAGGTGGATGGTTCTTTACTCATCTAACAAGTGAAATATTTATTACAGGAGTACATAACCAAGACAAGAATACATAAACTAGAACTATATTTCTCCATCAATTCCACCGAGTCTCACAACAATTCAGTTTAGTTTTCAGCAGTTTATTAAACCTTTGCATTACAAACATTTAACTCAAGTGGCTGCCCATCTCTGATATGTTTGTCTACTTGGCAGCCGTATGCTGTAAGATTAGCACTGACCAGATCGAGCCCTCTCTCTGGGGGCGCAGGAGAAGTCGAGAGCCTTGCCGGCGTAGTCTGCTAGAAGCGTATCAATGTCCTCAGCGCTGAAGCCAGCCTCCTGGCCAACCAACAAGCTTCGCAGGGTCCGCACTGCCACATCAGCCCAGTCTACCTTCAGATTCATCAACAGCTGCTCGAGCATGAGCAGTGGATCTGACAGCAAGGGGAAGTAGTCCTGCCTGGCAGCTAGAGGCAGAGTCAGCAACACCTGGAGGAGGATGCACATTTAATGAACCCAAAGATAGGAAGCAGCTCAATTGGAGAACAATGCAGAATAACTTAAAAAAGTCTAAAACTAAAATTTGGGGCCAGATTCATTCAAACCTGGCAATAGTAACATTATTGTGATTATTAATAAACAGGTTTAAAACATTTTCAGTGTTATGCAAAAAAAAATATTTATTTATTTATTTAAAAAAACAAAACAAAACAAAACAAAAAAAACACACACACCCTGACACAGAACACCAATCACATGCAGACCTTATCTGGTCATTTACAGAAAAAAATTCAGATTTGGAAAACAAGACCACGTTTTTAACTGGATTACTTTGTATTAGAGGAATATTCTCTACATATTAAGACATTTTTCTCATTAATTGAAAGAGCTTATGGTTTCCTGTGAATCTATTACAATTTTAGAATTGAAAAGTTGCAAAAGTATTTTCAACAAACTAAGGTTTACAGAATTACGCAGACTTGTGGCAGTCTCTATTGTAAGAAGGGAAATTTACAAACAGCTGAGGGGAAATTGCAATTGACACAAAGACAATGTGCAGTATTACAATCATTATTATCTGATTATGAATTGAATCACACTATGTGGATACAATATTACTTAAAAGATATTTTTGAAATTAAACAACACATCCAAAAGATGTTTTTTTTAGAAGATTTTACCCAAGTTATGATTGTTCAATGGTCATTATGCACCTCAAGTCTACTAATTACTAACGCTGTTTATCATTTATTTATCATCTTTATGTTAACATACTAGTGCAAACTTCCCAATCACAAACCTTAGAGCCTAGATGAAGCGCGTGGATGTATCGGCGACGTGCAGGAGACACCTGCCTCTGGAAATGCAGGGTGAGGTAGTCTGCCAGGAAGTGGCATGCATCCAGTCCAGGGCGACGATCGAGGGCACGCTCACAAACATCTAGACCAGCTGCAAAATCTGAGAGCCCGTCGAGTAACTAAACAAACCAAGGGAGGGACAAAGGATATTAACTAGGAGAGAAGAACACATAGTAATAGAGGAAAAAGGTTTGAGACGGTAAATGAGTTCTGAAAATGTTCTGAAATGTTAAAAAAAAAAAAACTAAGATCTTAGAAGACCTTAAAAAAAAAAATCATATGCTTTCTCTACTTTATGTTACGTAGAAAAAAAAATGCAAAGCTAATTAGTTTTTTCCCCATGCAAAAGAAGAGTACACCACAGACACAAGCGTATGATGCTGATTTTAAGTTAGTATTACATAAAGAGTTTTCTGGAAAGAAAACTGTGTGTGTTTGAACAGAGCTGAGTTATACCAGTTCAAGGATAGATTTAATGATACATGACCACACTCTAACAAATGTTTATACATTTACTCAAAATGGACTTCAATCTAAATTTCCAAGAAGTTGAACAAACCTGAAAAGCCTCATTTGTCTGTTCCTTTTCCAGTAGATGAAGCAAATGCTCAGTTTGCAGCTGCAGTCTCAGCTGATCTGAGACAGGATACAGCTCTGTCCACTGTGCACAAAGATGAAATTCCTGCAAAAACATAAAAACCAATTATAATGATAAGAATATACATAAACAACTGCATACTATGGAGAATAAGGTCTGTGTTAAGTTTTGGTGATAGTAATTTCCTGTCTAATGTCCTGACAATAAATTGTTCCAACTAAGCTGCACCTACCTTTGCCTCGAGTATCATAGATAACACCGACTCAGAGTTTGTCTTGGATTCATTTCTCAGCTCCTGCCAAGTGCCCCAGGGCAACGAAGGCTGTAAATTCAACATCTGTGACAAGGAAGAGGACCACAAACAGTTGGCAGGATAGAATGGAAAGTCAAATAAAGTGTCTGAGTGGTATATTATATAATACATGTACACCATGCTGAACTCCATTAAGAATTGGAGTCACTAAACTACCAAATACTGATTTTCAAAGTTGCAGAAGCCTTCTATAAAAAAGTTTACAAGCACATGTCTAAACTGTATTTCTGCAACTTCTTTGTTAGAATATAGATTTTTTTTTCCCAATAACAAAAAAAAAGGTAACTAAATTCTGCACTACCTGGTGGTAAAGGTCCAGTTCTTTCTTCTTGAGCTCTAGATCTGTTTTCAGTGAGGTCTCTGTGCTCGGGTCATTAAGGCAAAACTCGAGCAGCTCCAGGCAGGCCAACAGTGGCCACCGCTCCAGAGCCTGGAGGGCAACTCGGGCTCGCAGATTAGGATCCTGTACTCTGAACAGATGACCTATACCTTCATCTCCATCTGAGCAAAAACAACAAGCATTTTAGTTAAAGTTGAAACAAATGGTACATTTTTTAATTTTAAGATTTTTATGCTACATGGTTGCGATTACTAAATTTGACCTCAAGTATTTAATAAAATTTTTTATTCTCTTCGTATTCTGTTGATGCATAAAAATCTAACTTTCCAAGAGGCATCACTGGTAACTTAAAATGTTTAGTTTTGTGTGAGCAATAGTGACAAACTTTCTCTACAAATATAAAAAAATAGAGAAAATTTAGTTCCTTACCTTCTAAAGCAGCACATGCAAGCAAGCGGTCTCTTAGTGCCCCCTCCTGGCTGCAACTCTGCCCATAGAGCTCCAGCAGACTGAGGGCTCGGCTCAGGTCTCTGGAGGCAAGAGCCTTCTGGAAGGCGTCAGCAGCAACACCCTGAGCAGCAAGTTCTTGCGGCCCAGACAGCAGGAGACTGATGAGTGGTTTCCCGCAGACAACTGCCCCAAATCCAACGGAGCTTTCCTCATTCTCGCTTAATGACATGCCCAGCACTGGTTCAGCCATGGTGTGAAGGTAAGTTTGGAGAATAGGGAACTCCCTCAGGAGGTTATCAGCTTCACGAGAAATCTGCTCACCATCTAAGACAACTTCTTTACGTCCGCTGCGGAAATATCCAGACCATCCAGAAGATTGTGTCCGGGCAGTTTCTCCTTTACAGGCGCTTAAACATGTCAGTGTGGCCAGTAAAGGGGAGCGAGACTTAAGGAAAGACAGAGCCGATGGTGTGAGAAGAAAAGAATTCAAGGAGGAAGAAGACGAGGATGATGAAGACGAGGGTGGAGATGTGGAGAGGTGTGTGGGTGTAGAAGAATGATCCTCCACTGAGGCGTCAGACTCGGAGCTCACATCAGACTGAGACTCGGCAAGTCCCAGGATTGTCATGTGAGCCTGAGCATGGCATTGGAGTAGGTTAGACAATGCAGCAATACCAAACACACCATCTTCTTTCTTGTCCTCATCTGACTCTTTTCCATCATCTGGACAGGAGATCCACAGAGGAAGAGCCTCACAGCATCGCTGAACAATCACTTTTTGGATGCTCAGTCGCAGCCCTTCCTGTTCCAGCAAGGACAGTACTCTGGAAACATAACAGGGTATAAAAGGTCAGCATGTTGCTCCTAAAAATATATATATATTTCTGTAGTTTTAAGCCAAGATTTTCTTACAGGACAATCATGAGATTTCTTGAAGATGATTTCTTTGAAGATGCTTAACTGAAATCTTTATTGTGAGGTAAATAGTTTAGCTGCTCTCTTTACATTTGTTTATTCTCAAGAAAAAGATAAAGATACCGTACAAACTACACACACACACACACATACATACATGTGTGTATATAGTGATGGGGAATTACCACTATACATACTTGTCAGGAGATACTTGTCGGTCAAACAGCAGGTGAGAGAGAAGTTGAAATGGGGCTTGAAGCAACACTAGCAGTGGGTTCCCAAGCTTCACTTCAGTGTTCTGGTCTATTAGAAACAGCAAGAGATGCAAATCAGAGCAAGACCAGGGAGTTGAAGAGAAACACTCTACATTCACAATTTAGACAGGACTTAAAAGCTGTAAACATCACTCTAAGAATCAGAGATAACAGGTGGTGGAAGTAGGTATCAAGTAGTTATGACTGAAATGTAAAAGTCTTCATTTTACCTTCTGAACTGAGGCTACGCACTAACACAGATGCTAGTGTGTTGATGTAGTCAAAGAAACTGCGCACATAATCTGGCCTGCTAAGGTCTCTATCTGGCTCGAAGGGACAGAGGCTGTCAAGAGAACGAAGTAGCTGCTTCATGCTGGAGCGCACCGGATGAACATCTAGTTCTGACTGCTTCAGACTGGCCTGCTCCACCAGAAGTGCCAGTAGAGCGCTCCCCACACTGCCCTCTATTATAAATTAAAATGAGAAAACAAAAAACAGGAGAATACTTGTTAAGCTTTTTAAAAATAGAGGGGGTTTTAAGTTAAATATTTCAATTAAACTGTTTGATCAAATGTAGCATATGTTAACTGTGCCAACCTGTGCCATCTGTAGCAGCACTCAGATTGTGCAAAGTGTTTTCCAAACGCTGCACCAGACTAAGCCGAGCAGAAATAAATTCTTCACTCAGTGTTGGATAGCAACAGAGCAGTACTTCCTGGATGCAGCAACCAAATGGGCCGGCAAACACCTGGTCTTCCCCAACAGCTTCTACGAGGAAGAAGAGTGAATCAGTAACAAAGACACTATTCTGCAAACTCAATTCATTCAGTTAACTCAAGTATTTAAAAATGTGCATTCACCTGTTTTTATAGAACTTTTACTGGCGTTTGAATGATTTAGGATTTTGTTGATCTGTTGTAATACCATGGGAAATCCACAGATCCCCTCAGAATGAGGCACTTTAAGGTCAACTATTACTCCTGGGGAAGCAGACAGGGATAAACACAAGACACCATTTGCTCTCGTTCCCATCACCATGTCAAAATTAATTCTTCTAGATAGAAATTTGGGCTTCATACCTCGACCCTCCAGGCTGCTGTTGAGTCTGCGTTCAGCTGTGTCCAGCAGCTGTCGAGACGTCTTCCAGAGCTGACAGTGGCAACACGCCAGGTCAAAAGCAGCCATGGCTGCTGGACTGAGCTCCTCCAGCAATGTGTAAAGAAGGCCAGAGGCATCTGATGAGCACTGACTTAGCCAGTAGCCTTCCTCCAGTGAGGGCAGTTTGTGAGCATGGGTGCTGAGGAGACGGTCTGCTATGTCTGAGATGGAGTAGAAAGCCACTCCTGAAGAAAAACATATGCATGTGTCAGTTGTCATGGTGCACAGATGCCTGTAAGTCTTTGCTGTGCTTTTCTAATCTCTTCTAAAAACCAATATATAAAAGAGGCCAGACTACTGCAAACAGGTATACCAAGTTAAAATGCACACTCGAACTGAAAAGCAAAATGGGGAGAAAACTTTAGAACAAAAAGTCAAACCTGCAGCAGCAGCGCTTCCAATGGCCTGCAGTGTCGATCGGCCACTACTGCCCAGCCGACTCCTCCCTGTCCCTGACCCAGCTGCTGTCCCCAAGCCCTCTGATGAGGATGAGGATGAAGACATGGATTGACTCTCCATCTTTTGCTCCACCTGTGCCAACTCCACCAGGACTTCTTTGTAGCGCTCCATGAACACCAGCTCGCCACAACAGGCAGATGCTTCCAGATCAAAAACCACAGACACCTGTCAAGAAGCAAATGTTGTTAACTGGATGGAAAAAACTCTGACAATACTTACAAACGTCACCAGTGATCAAAAATCAGGTTAATCAAAAAAAGTTATTAACTCTAGTTCTGGTAAAGTGTAAACATGGCTAATGACCAACACAAAAGTGAACTTCTAATGTGTTATAAATGATGCTTGTAATCATATAATTAGTATGAGTGAGGTTGGATTTAATAATAATATAATGTCAATAATTTGAAGTGAGATAACTGCTCTAACAATAAAGAGGAAAATGATTTTTTTTTTTTAGCTTTGTTCAAACAAATAAGCAGAAAGTTGCATTCAAATTTTATTAGAGACCTGGTGAGCTTCCATGAAGTTTCCTCGTCGGATGCAGGACATTAGCAGAGACTCTGGAGGGGACAACATGGCAGGAACCAGCCAACTGTGGGGACCTCCACATGGACAAAACTCCACTTCCACAGAGCCTGTTGTCATTCCTCCTCCACCATCTCACAAAGTATTAATAAATGATAATAAATCAACAACAACAACAGAAAAATGACTTTGAAGACAGAGGCAGACAAACAAAAATACATTTCTCCTACAGCTTTAAGACTTTAAGGAGTATTTACATATGTAAAGAAGAGCCAGATGTTTTTTCTTACCTGATGTGCTTGTGCTGACCTCTCCATTGTGTTTTTCTGTGGAGGAGTGTCTCTCTATGGTATGCCTTCCTGGTTTCCTTCGCCTCCTCAGGCTCGAGCTCTTGCGGGGTCCCAGAGGAGTGACAGTGCAGCCTACTGTTGACGTTGTAAGAGGACTTTCTGAACCTGCGGTTAAAACAATGTAACATCAAAGCTCCAAGAATTTATGATGAATAATTACCTGAGTATTAACAGTACATGTGTCAGTTCCCAGTCAGATATGTTATTTAAACATACAGAAGAATAAAGAAAATAAATTGCTAGCTCACCATTTCCAGTTCTCTGGTTGCTGGTAATAATCTGCAGCCTCCACTGAGCCTCTGCAGTGCGTTTGGTCAACCTCTGCAAGCGTGACCCAAATGACTCAGCAGTCACCGAGCAGCCCAAAGTTGCTGCTGCCTCTGCTTCTCGAGGCAATGCTCTTCCTTCCTCCTGTCCATCCTGCTGACCCACCACACACATTCCCTCCAGTCCTTCCTTCAACAGCTTTAAAAACCCCTCCATGCCAGTCACATCAACCAGAAACCCCTTGCAGCCCTGGATAAAGTGTCCGAGGTCCAGGTGACTAGAGTCTGCTGTTGGACTTGAACATAGCTTTTGATTCCCCTTTTTTCTCTCCTCAGTGTTATCCATCTGTCCTTTGTTTTCTGAATCTGTATTTTTGTTTCCTGTATTCGGAAAGCAAGTGTCATTCCCTACATTCTGATTTGAGTTTGCATCTTTTTGACTCTGCTGAGCAAAGTCACTGGTGGACAGAAAGAGGAGAGAAAAGATATTTTCCAGGAGCTCCAAGCGGAACATGGCTGGCACTGCCTCCAGATAGAGCTGACACTCAGACAGGTAGTGTTGAAACACCAAATGGCAATCTGAAAAACAACACAACCAAAAAAAGTGAAAACATTAGTAAACGGTAAACAACCTTGATGGCTTTAATACGTAGGAGTGGAAGTCCTTGTTCTGGGTCCCAGCTTGACCTTTACTGCAATTTCCTGGTCTTTCCCTGTGTCTCCTGTCTATATTTCTGTACTTCTAGAAGAAATTTGCCATTAAAACTTGGTTTGTAAGCTGTAATGTGACCGATGCAGAAAAAATGTGTACGTTTTTGCCAAAAGACTGCAATGAGAAAACAAGAGAGAAGACTTTTCTATCATCTATTATCAAGGTAAAGCTTCACTTTATAAAAGAAAGACGGCCTTGTTACCTTCTAAGGAAGCTGAGGTTTTATTTTGGTCCTTTTCTGCATCAAAGGGCTGGTACTGCTGCATGGGATCACACTTGGTGCAGTTTGAGTATTTATGTGCATTCACACAGAGTGCATAGATGGCATACTTCATGGCACAGAACCCCTGGAACAAAACTATGTTTCTTTGTACAACAGGGCTGAGAGTGCCAACTGCCCCATCACCCTCTGCAAGAAACACACATACACACAAATAAAAGAACCACAGACACCTTTAATTGTAAATACTATGCAGCATCAAATTCATTATTTTTTACTCATTTGAACAAACAAAATGCATAACGCAAACCTGCTTCTGGTAAATTTGGCAGTTGCTGTAATAAATCTAATATCCTGCGTTCTTCAAACTGAGCCAAAGGAGTCAGAGAATGCAGGATATAGAGGGCTGAGTGGTTGTCCAGAGTGTGAAGCTTTGCCAACAATGCCTCCATGGAAATCCCTCTAAAGACACAAA